CCCCCCTCCCCCCTCCTCCACCCCAACCACCCGCCCCACCAACCCCACTTTCTCGCGCAATAGTGTACGAGTGGTCCGGTATTCTTCAATCTTCCCAATCTCATCACTAAAAGTGTTTCTTCATTATTTCTTTTTTTTTTCCACTTAGAAAAATATTGACTTGCATGGTAACAACCAAGACTGAAGAATACCGGTCTCTGTAGGCTAAGTGTAAGATCACAGAAAGCCGAGATAGCAATAGGATCTACTTAGCCTACATGTTGATCATACTGAAACGTAGCCGGATGTAAACATTGTTAGCTCTTCGGAATAGAATGTGTTTAAAACACTAAGTATACAAAAATAACCAGTTTGGCATTTCAGATTTCCCCACGGAATATTCTGTGGATTTCCCCGTCATTCGATTTCTCTCGAAGGAAAGCAGCTACCAGACCAAAATAGTTCTACTGCAGCGTCGATTCAGTCAATCCACAAGAGACACGTCTCACAATACTCTTCTGCTGGCTTTCATCATGTTGTCCCGTCAGCCGTCAGGTAGGATACTAACTATAGTCTATACACATGTATTAATTTATTAAGTCTAAGTCTAAGTATACTAAAACTTACTTAGAGGGGAAATAGGTACAGCCAAAGATACTACACCCTACGGTAAGATGCTGCAGCTGCCTACTCTTTGCCTCTGTAAAAAAAACGTAGCACTCGTAAAATAGGCCACGCCCCCAGCGAGCGTGTGACTGAGCCCCGATGGCTTGGCCCTGTGCTTGTTGGATAGGCCTAGCCTAGGCCTAGAGCAGAGTATGAGTACTATGAGAGCGTCCTAGTTAATTCTACTTTATTTTTAGGGCCCATTCTAGGTAAGATTGTACTTTACCGGACCACCGGTCGGAACTACTTTCGCTGTGGCGCCCCTAGTGCCTAGTGGCCCGCTGTTCTTCGTTTCCGAGCTCCCCTACTCACTCTCCTACTCAGTTTTCTACATCGTCACTCTTCAACTGCCAGCAATCGACTGACGTCTCTTACCGGGTTTTTCAGTCATCACGACCGTGCCACTGTGCCCTTTGACCCATGACCCTGACACCTTGAGTTTGAGGCTAATTGGTCAATCTAATCACGTGGTCCACTATTCTTATTTGCTCGCAACTCTGCTGGCTTGGCCTAGGACTACACTAGGGGCGCCACAGCGAAAGTAGTTCCGACCGGTGGTCCGGTAAAGTATAATCTTACCTGCAACCCCATCGGCCCTGCTCGCGACTTATCATGCTATTGTTTATATATGTGTGTGTGAGTGTCTTTAAATTATTGTTGCCAGGGGGGCTAGCCCCCCTGAAACCCCCCCATTGATATGTATACACGAATGTCCGCTCATGTTTTTGTTTCGCATTTTTGTGTGTTTTCTTTATTATAGTTTACCCCCCACCCCACTGTTGGTATGATACATGGTGGTCCACCAAAGTTAACTTAAATCCCCTGCCCACTCTCAACCACCACCTCTCGCTCACCTCGCCTTGCCAGTCGCCGCTGACTTCGCTGTGCGTGCGCGAAGTCGCCCGCGGAACTACCTTTTGTCCGCACGCAGAGTACTATGAGTGCGTAGTTAGGCTAGGCGTGCGTAGTAATCACGGGCCGAGACGGGTGGTCCGGTAAAGTACAATCCAGCCCCATTCTAACCTAGAATCTAGATCTAGATATCTAGATCTAAATAATTGGCCACCTCTATTCTCACCCGGAGTGAGAATAGTGCAGGCGAGTCTTGTGACTATTCTCACCCGGTGCGCGTTCACCAAATTTTGCGTTCACCCTAAACCACAGAATTCTACACTGTGATTTAACAGAAAAATTGTAGAATTCTGTGCCGTGAACAAACGTTCCATTACAACTGTAGCCTACTAACAGCGTACAATTTTGTCTGTGGGCAGTGGAGAGAGAGAGAGAAAGAGAGAGAGAGAAAGAGAGAGAGGAGTAGCGCGAGAATTTCCGGGCAAAACAAAATGGCGACCCGCGTAGTTCGGCTCGATTCTAAAAGTTAAATAGCCGTAGCATCTTTGTAGACAACCAAATTAATTTACTTTTGTGTTTTAACATCATTTTTTAACTTTGTTTTGGTCAATTTCTAAATAATTATAGGAAGAGGCTAGCCGTACTTAATGACGGCTAGACTGGAATGGGCCCTCACACAACAAAGTACAGAGTACAAAGTAATGGTCATAGTCATGGACGCGTGATGCAGATTGAAAACAAAGCTTACAGGTTGGACTCTGATCTCTCTAGTTTAGCTCTACTAATCTAGACACGCTAGATTTAAAAAATCAATGTCACATTGTCTTTCCATTTTTCGTCCTTTGGGAATCTGAAGAAAGACAATCATTTGATTTTTCCTCTGGAATTAAAACAGCCGATCGCTGAACAAAACTGGCCAGTAGTGCCGACAGCATGAGCGTTGCGTGTCTCTCGCCGTGTTTGTTTACATACTGTCGCACGCTCGCCGTTAGTGGCGCTACAAGTCGATGTGCCTCACAAAATTGGGCCACTGCAACATCTTACCGTAGGCTGTACTATCTTTGGTACAGCTGAAATGAAAATTTTTGTTTGGGCTCTAAATTAAGAGTACTGGGATTCCCAATAACCAGTATGGGTCAAGAAACAGAAAGACACTATCCCTATATGATTTCACTGTCAATTTTTTAAATTTTTTAGATGCAAAGGGTTCGACAGACCAAAATTCGTGCAAATTGTTGGCAGGGATTCTGAAAAAGATTGAATTGATACAGCCTTGATATTATCACACAGTGTTTGTGTATATACAACCTGCAACGTACAAAAGATTTACTTTCCTAAGACCCTAAGTCTCATACTTTTCTTGTAACTGCCCTTTTAGTGTCATATATTTATATACGATACTTGGACAAAAAAATGATCACAAATCAGAGTTATACTGCCAATCTTTTTAACACTGACGGAAGACTTATTACAATATCACAATAATCTTTTAGTACGTTGCAAACATATTATCTAGAAACAGTTCATGCAAAGTGGGATTCAGCTGCGACGAGTACTTTTAGAAATATCTCTGCCAAGGTGACCCACCCCCCTAAAAAAATCATAGTTTTGAGAAAACTTTCAAAAACACGAATTCATACCATTCTATTACAACACAATGTTAAAAAACATGGCATATGTGAGCACTTTATAGATGTTTTGGACACTTGAAAATATTTCCAATCGATAAAGCAGATGTTGCTCTACTAAAATAGTCCAAAATCGAAAAATCGGTTTTGGATACCAAAATCGACTTTTTAGGCTGCCGTGGTGTTTAAAGTAGATACGGAACCATCATGTACTAGACTAGATCTATCTAGTCTAGATTTAGAATCTAGTATTTTTTCTAGATATCTAATAGGGGGCTCTCATGGCCTAGAGGTTAAGGTGTTGGCCTCTCATTCAAAGGTCCCGGGTTCGAATCCGGGTAGCGACCGAAAAATTTTCTTCTCTAAAATTGTCTCCTTTCACCTCCTTTTCTGCTCTCTAGCAATGTTCTGTTGTCTGCTTTCATTTCTACTTTCTGCCCCCACCCCCTCACCTCCTTTGCCCCCTCCTCTGGGCTCCTGACTCTTTCTGCAGCCTTTCTACTGCTACTCCTTGGCTCCTCCTTACTGCTGTCTTTCTGCCACACCCCTGATCTTCTGGTAGGAAAGATCTACACCTAGCCTTCTCGGACAAGGGCGAAAAATCTCGGAGGGCCCGTGTCCAAGTTGCGCACGTTAAAGATCCCTTGGTGGTCTAAAATCGATAAGAGTAGGCTTCGGCCGCCACCCGGGCAAAATTCAAAATTTCCTACCAACTGAAAATATTAGGTGTGTCCCGCGCGCTCATATGACCTATGCAGTTGCGAGCGCCGTAAAACACTTTACAAAAAAAGCAAAGATTTAGATATCTAATACAAAAAAGGCAGAAAAATATTACTGGTTAATGTTGTAGGGTTCACTTAGCCTACATGGCCACATGCAACTAAACATAGAACGACGCAAAGTAATTGGTGTTTTTTCGGTTGTTCCCACCCCCTTATTTGAGCCTGACCTAGTTATCTACATCTAGACTAGATCTATACGTTTGATTCGCGGCGAGCTAAGATATCAAATCTAACAGTAAATTTTTGCTTTTACACCCACACACAGATGCACTGAAAAGCTAAACTGCCATAATTTTTGCTGCAGAACACACGTATGGCCACTAAAACCCTTGCAAATCAATTGTTTTCATGTAAATATTAATCCTAATTGCCAAAACATCAAATCATTATGAAATTCAGGGGGGCATTTCCCCCTGAAACCCCCCATGTTGTTAAAAGTAAGTCAAATATTACTACGCCACTGGTCCTAGTTCTGTTTTCAAACATGAATAACTCAGTAACTATTGATTTGCGGTAAAAATGAAGGCCATATTCGTGTTCAGCATGCAAAATACTACTAGAAAAAAGTATCAAACCTGTACACGAGACGGGTGTATTAGTAAAAAAAACAAAAAAACCTAACAACTGCAAAACATTTAATTGTGGTAAAATTCAGGGGGGCATGCCCCCCTGAAACCCCCCACCTTATTTATATTAGGTCAGGGGGGCAAGCCCCCCCTAAACCCCCCCCCACACACACACACTTTTGGGGCCTAAACCAGTGAATAACAATTGCGGGGTGAGAACTACCGAACAAGCGCCAAGTAATTTTTAGGTAAGGCGGCCGTCTTGTGTGACATCAGAGCGGGATACCTCTCCAATCACATGACTACATGATCTAAACATAGCCAACCGCTTGGCACCAAAGATCGTGTATACCTACCGTGGCACGACGTTTGGTGCAATGTTTTTGCCAGGAGATGTACCGGTAATGTGATATGATTATTATGATGCAGTGCTCTGATGCTGCTGCTGCTGCTTATCTCTTCTGTGCATTGTTTATCGGGCCCGGGTAATCTCCGGGCTGCTTTACTGCAATTTTAACGCACTTTATTGTCTTTGCGTTAACCGTGTTTCAATTTCATGCATCAGCGTTCTTACAGTTCTGAGCATCAACATTCTAAGCCGTCTTCCATCACCAGAGCGTTGCTGACGTGCTGCAGTTAGCTGCAAGTGTGAATTTTTACCATGCAAAACACATCGATATTGACAAAACGTCAAGCCATACGGTACCTACAAAGATTCTCTACTGTATCGTGTATACACGATCTTTGGTACCTCTCCACGGCCTTTATATAAACAGTCTGTGGGTATCCCAGGTAGTGATGACATCACATTACTAAAATTAGCAGCCAATCAGGAAGATTCGTCGTTCTATGTTTAGTCGCATGTTCTATGGCCACTTTTGTCCTTAGCAATCACTTCTGTTTCTTTTATGTAAACAAACGGGAAGGCAAATTTCCAAAGAGCTCCCTTAGGGCATTCTCCTGGTTTAGCCCTAAGAGTTGGAGTGAGGCGCTCATCAAACTAATGAAATCGAAGAAACAGGCATTTTATACCAGTTTGGAATTTTTTTCCGAATTTTTGTTTTTTGACTCAACACTTTGTAACTTTGTATGTCCATTGAAAAACATTCTTGGGTGTGGATTTTATGGAAAAACTTTGATTAAAGGCTCGAAAAATGTAAATTTGCAGTTTTCGAGGACTTTTGAGCTATGGAAGTCACCAAACG